AATTTGCATTTGAATATTCATACATACAACAAAGTCATACTTATTCTAAATCCGTTAATTCCTCTCATAATAACTTGTATAAGAAAAATGAAATCAACTTACATGTGCCCCGTCCTGGTGAATACTGCTAAATCCGGATAATAACCCCGTGTTAAGTTCGACAAGTTTTAAAGGAACAGTACAGCGCTGTGGGCGTTATACTGTTATTTCAATATTGTGCCGATTTATGTCAATAGTTCACATTTTACTTGAGTACTTTACATTCATTGTACAATAAATAAATCCATTAGCCGAAATTTATTGAATTAAATGATTTCACACTAGCATAATGTTATATAAATATTAGATAGTGATGAATTCAACAAATACCATTTTATGTCATCAATAATTTATTCCCGACATTTTTCATATTTATTATTTATTTCTAGAATGATTTAAATTAAATTTGTATCACTAAAGGCTGGTGTAGTGCACCAAACACCACGCATTTGATTTTGTAAAATATATTCATAACATAACTCTTCTAAATGACATGTTTTTTCCGGACATATACATACATATGCACATTAATACTTACCTAAACAGAATCAAGCAAGAAAACTTGATATAAAAATAAGAATATCAATCATGTAAACAAGGAAATATCCTAACAAGATTCAAGTTCTTCTTAGTCTGGCATTTCAACATACATGTATTTAGATATTCAGAAGTCGGTAAATGACAAATTATCAAAATGATATTATAAATTAAAACGCTACGTTAGCACCGTACGATAATTCGAAGCGTAAGTTACCAGCATATATTTATTGAAATATTCTTATGATATTTAGTTTATAGTATATTGATATTTTTCAGAATTAAAGTCATCAGAAAATCCAAATTCAAATAATTCCTGTCATTTGTCTGTGAAAAAAATTGTTAAATAATTTAGGTTATGGATACTTATGAAATGAAACAAATTTTGATATCAACTATATGTCTGTATTAAAGCAAAGATTACGGGATCAATACGTACAAGAGTGGACATGGTGGAGCGAAACAATTGCAAATCAACCAAAACTTAAATTTTACTGTTTGTTCAAGACAGAATTTTCTTTTGAAAAATATTTGACTGTGGTAGAAAAAAGTTCCTGTAGACAAACAATGTCTCGATTAAGATTGTCGTCACATAATTTAGAAGTTAAAAATGGTAGATTTGTTGGAATTGATGGAAATGATCGTATCTGTAAAATGTGTAGTACTCATGTTGAAAACGAATATCATTTTTACTCTGTTGTCCTATGTACAGAGAGTTGCGTAAAAGATATTGTAAAAACTATTCCTTTCCTACTCTAAATAAATTTTATTTTCTTATGTCAAGTAAAAATATAATAAAAATAAGAAATGTTGCAAAATTTACTTCATGTGCTATGGAATTAAGAGCAGAATTGCTTGCAAATATGGCTGCTCCTTAAAATATCTGTTTAAATTACTTTCAAGGTATCGAAATATTGTTAAAATAATCGTTTGATGTATATATGTTTTTTTTGTATGTTATATTTATATTGTATATATTTCTGTTGTCTTGGCCATCATGAAAGTGCCAAAGTCATTTTCTCATGCCGATTTAGCCAAAATAAACTGTATAAACTGATATTTTGAGTTTTACTCTACGAAACATATACATTCTCATACGCATTAGAGTTTGCATATGACATGTAAAACTTGTTGTTGGAAATCAGCCTTCTCTCGTACATCGTTGCTTAAAAAGGAACTGTGAACATCATACTAGTATGCCTTAAATATACGTACTCGTATGTGTCTATGTTAGAAACCATAAATTGAATGTTTCTTTTGTTATCTGGAAACAGATCAAAGCATATACAAAATAAACTACATCGAATGTAAAGAAAATAATTATAGCGATGGCGTCAATTAATACGTCATCCTACAAGGAACAAACTCTTTAACTAATGCATGTTTTATTGTAGCAAATTAACCATAACTAGATATTTGGTATTATATTTTAAGATATACAACTTGGTTATGTCTCTAAAATAAATTCAACTTTGTTATGTCTATAAAGTAAATTCAACGTTTTATGTCTGTAAATGCAATACAACTTTATTATGTCTGTCAATTAATTTCAACTTTGTTATGTCTATAAAGTAGATTCAACTTGTTATGTCTGTAAATACAATACAACTTTGTTATGTCTGTAAATATAATACAACTTTGTTATGTCTGTAAATACAATACAACTTTGTTATGTCTGTAAATATAATACAACTTTGTTATGTCTGTAAATACAATACAACTTTGTTATGTCTGTAAATACAATACAACTTTGTTATGTCTGTAAATACAATACAACTTTATTATGTCTGTAAATACAATACAACTTTGTTATGTCTCTAAATATAATACACAATATACATATACATTTTGTTAAAAGAATTTTGTGTTCGTGATTAAATAAAGAATATATCTTTGATTATGCTTAAAGTTATACACATTTGACTATTAAAACATTATAAAAATGACCTCCATCTTGACTTTTACCATTTAAACCGACCATATCCAGTTATTTCTGTCTCACCTTGAATACATTACCACTTAAGCCAGCGGCATTACTTTTAAGAGATCGCATGTCTATCATTTGAACACATTTTGATACTTAAAATAATTTTATTACAATCTAAAATATGTCAGATTCACACTGTATATGGAGAAATACACATTGAATAGACTTATGGACCTTATTAAATTGTGAACCAAACTAATGTAAATCATTATTTACCAATTACTTTACTAATGACCTATGTCCGGGATTTGGTTCAGAAAACGAGAAGCTATTTATATTTTAAACATTGACTAGAAAATGAAGAGTCTTCTAAACAGTTTACCATCCTATATCGTCTCTCTGAACTGAAGCAACTAGCATAAACAATGAAAGATTTACAGAATAACTATTTCAAAGTATTTCATTCATACTACAAGGTGAACACCCGTGTTTTTGGTAGGTGCGATGGCATGTCACGTTGAATTATTAGCTAACAATTTAATTCTTGATAATGGAAAAACAGAAAAGACGAACATAATGGGTTCGTATGAGTAAAGAAAATGTTCCTACATGTAACTATACGATAACTGCTAGATCTGAATATTTTAACACAAAAGTTTGGTCCAAAAACTACATCAAATGGTAAATCTAAAAATATTTAAAGTCTTGTCAAACAACCTGTGGTCTCCTTTTAAGTAAAGACATTCAGAAGCAAAAGAAAAAAATGCGTCACCTGCTACCTATGTCAAGGACTTTTTCATGTCTTTTCGAAGACAAATGTTTTCCCCAAGACATGACTATCTTATACAAGCCCGCTCTTACAATAATCATAATAATGAAAAAATATTACATAGAATACACACTACATTTCTACCGTTTATTATTTACTATTTATCTATTTACTATTTGATTGATGTGTAATATCTGTCTGGCAACATATAATTTAAGTACTTGGGGGTGGAAAACGTTTAGTTTTGCGGATCTTTCCCAAATAATTTTGATTATCTTCATCTATCACCTTCGGAAATTTAGTAATTAGTATTAAAAATTTTACCAAAATTTTTAAGATGGCAAGCATTCAAAAAACCAATTTTTTTTCCAAATTTTTATAAATTTTAAATTTTATTGTAAATGAATTTAAAACCCAAAATATGTATATTAAAAATAAAAAAGGGGACACTCTAAAAATTGGGAAAACCGTTTTCCCCGGGAAATAGGTCAAATTTAAAAACAAATTCTTACACCAATCATACAACATACACTTTCCCAGCGGGGTGTTAAGAAAAATGAAATTAAAATGCAGGGTGGATTTTAAAGTGACTCAAAGGGTAATCTTTATGTCATTTGAAAACGCCGAGTTTATAAGATATTTTATTCCTTTAGAAATCTTTAGTTTTTTCTCGCTTGATGACAAGTTATAGAGTACGCCGTGCATATCCAGTAACGCAGGAATGTGCAAATAACGTAGAAGTAACGCCGAATAAGTAAACGAACCAAAATATTGTATTTTAAATCAAATTGAAAGAAATAAATTAGCGCATACGCCTGCTACGCCATTATACTTTGACCAGCATTACATTTTTTTCAGGAATGTGTTTACTTTCTTAGATCATTCGTGAGAAACACAACCTGATTACCGTTTTGAAGGTGACTTTTGTGTTTCGTCAACTAATTATGTACATTTAACACATTTAAAACTTACTTTTTTCATATTCTGGATACCCAAGACATTTGTCAAACTACAAGTGTCGTATAACAATAGAAGGAAGCTGGTAGAACATGATTTAGCTACTTTTAATGAGATAACCGCCGTTGCTTCAGTACTTCATTCACGAATTCGGCGTTACCTTTTAAAAATGGTCTCAGTAAAGTTTTATCTGCTAAATTAAGTGTAATTGACACGAGTAGATTGGAAAATGTCTTAGGTTCACTGAATATAAAAATCATAAAGTAATATGTACGTTATTGTATTTAAAGATATCAACGAAACTAAAAATCGCCATTAATACGCTAGACACGTCGTCATTTTCACGAATGATCTTGAACAATAAACATTCTCATGGAAATAACTTTGATGCGGTTTTAATGTAGTATAATGTCTCAACAACCGAATGCGCTAACCCATTTCTTCCAGTTTGGTGTACAATAAAAAAATATTAGTCCATTTACTTATCGCGGTTTTCGTTTTAGCCACTAAATTGCACAATTCTTCGTTACTTTTGCACAATTCCTGCATTATTTGCACATTCCTGCGTTACTGGATATACACGGTGGAGTATCTTTGATAAGAACAAGACGAAAAAATAACATTTTTACACAATGACAAATTGCTGCTATCTAAATGACAGATATACGGTTTCAATGACCATTCCACTGCAAAATAGGAGTTAGTGCACACATGAAGCCTGCAAGTACAAATACGACAATAAATCTTCATTTTTTCCTGTTTATTTGGCGATAAATTGCAGTGGTATTGTGGGTATTGTGTTGATACATCAATGTCAAATAAGCCATTTTTATTGCTTCTATTTCAATACATAACTCAATGATTTATAGAAAATCGTATAATATTTTGATACAAATATTAAAATAGACTGGTCTACATTGGGAGTATTTTAATAAGTATCTCAAATACTGACAAAGCAATATAAATGTTGTTTCGCCGAATTGTCGTGCACCACAATGACACGCTTAATCTTTTTTATACAATGCATACAGCAATTAGGTTAAAGCAACACAGGTTAATTCAATATCATTTGTTTAATTGTTTAATGAAATGCAGCATATACTCGTACATTATAATTCAACCATTTTTTTTTCATTTCTATAATTTGATTTGCTATAATTATATTATGCAAGTGCTAGAAGTCCAAACGCTCCGCTCATATTGTCAGTTACATCAGTTGACAGTAGCTGCACAAACTGTGACATAATGCTGAAATACCTAGTCAAAGCTGGTGGAAATACCTTAGATTGTTTCTCCTCTGGATAGTTAGATTGATTAGGATATTGTGGGTAAGAGTTTGCGTTGTAATATTGATTCTGGTAGAGTTGAGAATCTGCATATGACTTGTAAGAAGGGAAACTTTGTGGAAGCTGATGATCTTGTTGAGGAGGATAACTATAACTTTGTTGATGCTGTTGATATCTTTGTTGAGTGACCGGATAAGTTTGTTGAGTCGCCGGATAATTTTGTTGAGTCAACGGATAATTTTGTTGAGTCAGCGGATAACTTTGTTGAGTCAACGGATAACTTTGTTGAGTTAACGGATAACTTTGTTGAGTCAACGGATAATTTTGTTGAGTTAACGGATAACTTTGTTGAATCGCCGGATAATTTTGATGAGTCGCAGGATAACTTTGTTGAGGATAAAGAGCTGCTGAATTTGTATATTGAGCGTTCATTTGTGCGTTCGGCTGATCTAGACAAAATAAGATAATCGTTGCATTAGCTATCATAAGCAATGTCGTGAATAAAATGGTATTGATAAGATTCACTTCTATTAGCACGGCAACATTATAACAACTAACGTAAAACATACACTATTTTACTGTATGATAATATATGCATAATAAATAGATTTAAGTAGAAATAAACTTTTTTTACTCAAAATGAGTCTATAAAAGCGGGAACTGACAACCTAATTGCAAAAATATTTAAATATTCATTTGATATAATAATCTCTTTCTTTTTTATATTTTCTTTGATATTGAAAGTTTTACAAAGGAAGCAATCGTTTCTATAGGCAACCCGAAATCTACGAAGTTTTGAGAAATTACATTAAATAAAATAATCTCAAAATTATACACAAACTTATAATAACCGTTAAATATGAAATTGGCCTTAGGCCCTATTAATATGTTTATAGAGAATTCGGTTTTTAAAGGAACAAATAAACAATCGACAATTTCTAGACTATATCCCTTTCATGGTCTTTTATACAAACATCTTGCCGAAAAATAAAAAAGTAGGCATTCTCGAGATCAATAAAAAGAGAAAAACAGAATCCCTATAGAACTCCCCGAAAAGGTAAAAATAAAAATTTCTATATCTTTAGATTAATATCGTAGACCATATATAATAATGATCTGTAACAATTGATATTTTCCTGACGTCGGTATATTGTTAACCTGTATTTGTTTTCAATTCGTTCGTGTCTAAGTAAGTTTTATTCTTTCTTATTAACATCTAATAAATACTGGTATATATTCTCTTTTCAATAAACTTCTCGTCAGACGACAAACGGAACTTTTGAGTGCAACTTGGTGTTCTGGTCAGATAAACTTTAAAGTCAATTATTGGCGTCCGCGCCGAAGCGCGGCGCCTTATGGAATGAAATGAGATTTTGTGAAAGGGCGACAGCAACTTCTCGAGCCTTTTAGTCGGTCATAATAAAAGCCGATCATTCCGATCGGTATGAGGGTGCTTGATATTTATAAAGTCGCGATATGTACAATGAATAGCGAACTGGATAATTTCGCAATGCAAACATTTTCAAATGAAATAACCTTTTCCGTCTCTTCGTTTTTTCTATTTATCATTTTTAGTACACAGTGGGTTATTATGGTATTTTAAAATACAATAATGAGTTGATGACCTAAACATTCCGAAAATCTATTTATAGAGGGAAGTACTCCTATCGGTAATTTCCGGTCTCTCCCGGTCTATTTTGACCGGGATTTAGTAGTGACCGGCGAATAGTATCACATGTTTATTGCCCGGTCTCTCCCGGTTTTGGAGTAGATGTTTAATGAACATATATTTTACAGATAAATAAGCTTTTTTCCAAAAAGAATGTTTGTCACTTAGTTTGGTTACAATAATTAATAAACATAGATCAACTCTCAAATTTATTGATTATTATTATACATAAACATACAATTCGAAGAAAAAAAAACACCACCACCACCAACAACAACAACAACAATAGCATGTTTATTTTATCTATATGAGATAAAAACAATAAATATGTACAATAATTGAGAAAAAAGGTACATTTTATGACACTATCAACTTTGAAACATTTTATTTAATTTGTTACTCGTGTTTAGTAAAGATGCCGAGGAATTATTCAAAGTTACAAATTAGATTTTATGAATTATTCAATTGATTGATAATTTAAACAAGAGCTGTCCGTAAGACAGCGCGCTCGACTTTTTTATTGCTTGCCAATAAAAAAAGTTTTTGCAGTAAAAGGCAATACAAGAATCTCTGTATTTTTTAAAGTGAACAATGGCCATGAGCATTAAGATATTTAGTGAAGAATTATTTACTGAATTGTGTGATACCCTTGAACACTGCAGCAAAGTTTGAAATGTTTAAGTCAAAACATTGACAGTTAAGGGCCATAATTCAATATAAAATCTTTGACAGAATTACCTTCTCCTGGACATGTTTGGGAATCATGATTGTAAACAAGTATTCCAACTTTCAAATTAATATCTCAAACAGTTCAGTCAAAAAGTGGACTGGTACTAAAAACTTAACCAAGATTCTAAGTCGATAAAAGGCCTTAATTTTTAAAACAAATCCTTGACAGAGTTACCTTCTCTTGCGTACAGATGGGGGTAATGATGTGAAATAGCATTAAAAGTTTCAAAGCAATATCTCAAAGGGTTAAGGCAATAAGTGGATTTTACCCATATTCAATGTATTTTCTAAGTCAAAAAGGGGCATAATTCTGTCAAAAACCTTGACAGAGTTATGTCCTCTTGTCTGTTGATGAAGGTCGTGATGGTAAACAAGTATGGTCAGTTTCAAAGCAATACCTCCAATGGTTTTGAAATAAAGTGAGGTGGTACAAAAAACTTAACCAAGCTCAATACACTTTCTAAGTCAAAAAAGGGCCATAATTCTGTCAAAAACCTTGACAGAGTTATGTACTCTTGTCTGTAGATGGAGGTTATGATGGTGAACAAGTATGGTAAGTTTCAAAGCCATACTTGTAATACTTCTGAAATAAAGTGGGGTGGTACGAAAAACTTAACCAAGGTGTGACGCCAACGCCGACGCCGACGCCGACGCCGGGGCGAGTAGGATAGCTCCCCTTTTCATAGAAAAGTCGAGCTAAAAATGATAAAGAAAAATACCAATGTACATGTACATGGTTTAAGAATAACCAATATTATATCTTGAAAGATTAACCATAATTTACTGAATTTTTCCAGTTAAGTTTTGACTTATAATCCACGGTCAATATGACAATTGAATTCTTAAAATTTATTTTACAATTTTAATAAAAAAGAGTAGTAAACATAAAAAACTCAATATTAAAATAGCACATAAAACACAAAAAAGAGAGGAAAACAATATTCATAAAATCTGTATTTTATATTAAAATAGATATTACAATTATTGTATAATAAACAATTATGCTCAACATGATCAACATGGTAATATAATCAGTATCATATTTTTACTAAGTGTGAACAGATACCTTAAGAGGGGGTCTTCGCTAATAGCGATAACATAATAAGGGACAATTCCACAAGTGTCGTGTTGATCATGAGTTACACATATGGATTATAAATGATTGTATACATGTATATACGTTGCTATTAATAATCACGATCATGAAGAAATAACAAGTAATATTCTAATCTCTAGCATGCCAATCAAAGTTCATAATGAACAATGTCTTTCGTCTGTTCATTCTGGTAAAAACCAATTAACCATTGAAAAGTTTATAAGAAATCTTGTCATCATATGTCTACTAGTTCATCTTCACTTTCTGCATTTCTTGCTTGGACGCCCTTTGATGCTTTGCATCAATGCTTTTCTTGTGATTATGCTTGTATGTTTTGGGCGCCCAAAATGATCGATATGACAATACTAAATTTGGTTATAAATAACTTCAGGTGAACACGGTTTGTATTCGTTGCATAATGCCTCCGTTACCTTTAACAACCTTCATTCAATTTATTGGAATCATTGATAAAATTACGCGGCTGATCGAAGTTTTGGAGAATAATTATTACATCTGACTTTGACCTATTCAGCCAACGCAGGTTATATGACAGAAAAATACCAAACCATATACATGGCCTACGATAATAATCTAAAGTAGTGATAACAAATTTATTGGAATATAATATTTTTTTTGCAAATATTTACTAGAATATAACTTTAGCAGAGTTTCATTTTTTTTCAAATATAATAAGAAAATAACTTTTGCAGAGTTTCAAATAATATTGATTATTTTGTTATTCTCCTTGTAAATTTCAAACCGTCTTCTAGATAATATAAAAATATATTGTAACCTTTATGCAAATGTATTTGAGTTAATTTAAATGGACAGTTCTTTCTTAGTACATGAATGGGATTTGAACATATTTCAATCATTTACTTAAAGGAACATTTATCCCACATTTAAATAGTTTTAATAACTTTATAGCGTTAAAATTAAAAGAAAAGTCAAAGAACATGATACATTGTTCTAAAAAAATTATAATGTATAGTAAACATAGAAAATAATTAAACTTACTCAAAATAAAGGCGTTAACAGAGTACAACAAGTAGAAATGCGCAAACAGCACCGAACGTAACCTTGCCGATCGCATATCGTATTCCTCCTGCAGGTAAATGATATATGTTATAAATATTAGGATTTTAGAGTCTACGTACATGTGTTGGTTATGTTTTATCAATTAAATGGAATTAAAAACTTTGTCAAATATCGTAAGCAGTTCGGTCAAGACTGACATTTTTAGAGACTTAATTAATGCTGTTTATTGTCTAGGCACTCTAGCACCGGGAAGAACACACAATATCACCGGATGACACGCCGCCAGCACCTGCTGGAGCGAAGTTCATCATCATTAGAATATGATAAAAAGTAACATTTTATTAGATTTAATAAGTTTGTAACAAGAAATAAGTCTTCTTTAGACTTGGGTGAATTGTTTATAACTTTCGACTGCTGACTGGTATCTTTAACTGACAAAATGCTCCCATTCGGATTGTATTTTGTCCGCTCGAAGATAATTTTTTTTTATTCTAAGAAATCGTTAGAATATCAAAATTATGTAGCGCAACAAAGATTGGCTATAGTACTTGATATAATTAAAAAAACAAAACAAAACGTTTAAGTTTTATTGTCTGGTTTAAGCCTGAAAACGGGATAAATTTTGTTTGGGAGTCCGAAAACACACACACATTAAAAAAACACACAAAAAAACCCCAAAAAACCCCAAAAAACAACAGACAAACAGAAAACAAAACAAAACAAACAAAAAATAATAAAGAAAAACAGAGCATTTTGCAGATGCGCAATGACTCATTATTACGGTAATAATCTAATAAAAGTTCGAAATAGTTAAAAACTTACATGAGCACCGTCCCAGTAGACAATGCAATATCCGAATATACCGGCTTTGGTTATTATATACTATTTTCAGAAAATTTATCGCAATGTGAACATTATACCTTTACTCCATGATTGCGTTTATATTATGTCAACAGTTCACACTTACCTTGAATATTTTATGCAGTTCAGTAAATAAAAATTTCAGCCGGAATAAACTAGTTCAAACGATTTTCAAGTAATAAAAAACTTAAACCTCAAAACACAATTTGTACATCGGCATAACATGCTATAAATACTGTGAGGTTTTCAATTGAACAAAATTCGTAGAGGATATTCAAGGTTTTTTCACTTAATACATGATTTATTTTCGAGTTGTTGACTATAAATATTACATAAGTGGTGGTAGCCACGAGTGAAATATGATAATTTTCATATCACAATATGAAAATAATTCTCGTATTTGTAGTAAAAATCTTGAATTTTCTGTTAAACATGTACGATTTCTTTCTTTTTTTGACGTTACAACTTGAAAGACCTCCGCATTATTTTTGTTTATTGGCTGAATTTGAAGAAAATAGTCCGGCATTTACCAGAACAAAAATCGGAAAACATATTTCACTGCAGTGAAAACTATTTATTCACAGTGAAAATATTTCTTAACATTTTATTTATAGTATATTAATAAATGTGCATAATCTTAAACGTCATAAAAAGAAGAAAGTGTACCAATTTTGCAAACAAGAAAATGTACAACATGACTTAAGTTCCTCTAGTCGAAAACTGAATTACCAATGCATTTTATCATATTAAGATTTTTACAAATTGATACATTTTAGTACGTTCGATTTTAAAACGATGCGATTGAATAAGTCTACGAAAGATTTGCAGTTTATTCTTACATGCTCTGGTTACGATTATATGTGGCCAGTATTGAAATGATATTGAGCTACGATAAAGGGTCTACCGATTTTCTAGGAAAAACGAACTGGAACATGCGCATAAATAGTACCTATTAATTCGCACACAATAAGCTTATAATTTCAAACCAAGATATTTTTTACACTGAAAATGCTGTTATCACATTTTCTTAAGTCACATTCAGTGCCACACGCCACACATGACACACTCATGTTAAGAAAAAATGTGTTGAAATGAGTTTTATAATTGATTCCCAGCTGAATACGCCCTATCCCACCAGAGCCCCCACCCCAACCCCACAAAAAAGCCATCGGTGATTGCAGTTGAATGTTGAAATATTTTTTGCTTATAAGATGTTGAGAAATCTTCTGCTTATAAAATGTTGGGAAATCTTCTGCTTATAGGATGTTGAGAAAGTTTATGCTTACAAAATTTTGAGAAATTTTATGCTCATAAAATGTTGAGAATTTATCTGCTTATTAAATGTTGAGAAATCTTATGCTTATAAGATATTGAAAAATCTTCTGCTTATAAAATGTTATGAAATAATTTGCCTATAAAATGTTGAGAAATCTTCTGCTTATAAAATAATAAGAAATCCTAAGCTTTTAAAATCATCTGAACTTTATCTATATCGTTGCTTACAGTGTTCCTCTGCTTATATGACATAAATGTTGTTAACGTTTGCATTTTGTAGACATAGCGGCAACTTCTTTGTTTATTGATGGATGGTTGTAAACAAATTTGCGGTATTTTGTGTTTTGTACAGGATAATTCATGTACATTACGCGGATGTAATGACATGTTTGAACAAGCCGATGGCAACATCAAATGAATCACATAAACATGACATGTCTGTATCAATCTCCATTATAGGCCAATATTAATACTTTATAAAATGCTTTCAATGCTTAGTTTACTTGTACTCTACTTTTACATATGAACAGATCGAAAAAAGTCCCAAAAATACTGGTCATTTATAATAATTTTAATATTGTAAATAACAATAAAAAAGTAATAATAATAATAATAATAATAATAATAATAATAATAATAATAATAATAATAATAATAATAATTTTTAATAATAACCTTTTTAAATTTGTTAGGAGAAAGGATCAAAATGACTTATGAAAATACTACTCATACACTTCTTCTCCGGGAATTTTAAAGGAAGTCAAACCGTTCTCAGATGGGCTTCGGTAAAAGAAAAGCAGTTTCATATAATCAAGGTAAAATATAAAATAGAGGAATTTGAGCATTTTATTGGGGAGGACGAACAGTTAAAGTGGTTTGGTCTGTTACCCAGAAAATGATTAATGGGTAATATTGACCGATTTGCGTAGGAAATAGGCACTGTTTCCTAATTAGACAACCAATCTGTGAATTTATGTCAAAGGCATTCATTTAATCTAAAAAAAAACAACAACAACAAAACAACAACAAATAACAACAACAACAAATAAAAAAAAAACAACACAAAGCTATTATCAACAAGAATTTTATTTTGGCTCTTGGCGATTTATAATGTTTTAAGTTATAGTTAACAATAAGTTTGCTCTAAAACTCTCCTTATGAAACTAAAGGTTTTAATACTGAAGCTAAGAACAAGTTTGCTATAAAAATCTCCTAATGTAACTTATTATTTTAATACTGAAAATAAGAAGAAATGTCTGTCAGTGACTATATCAGTCTTAATATTCCAAGTAATCCGCCAATTCTAGATGTGAGAAGAGGTGAAAACAGATTGACCATTCCCGCTGCAATCCCCAGGACTCTGTCCATTGTAGGTGTAGCAAGTGTCTCTATTTCATCATCAGGCTGGACATATATGTGATAATTATTATTCTGTTGTGGTATATTGGCAGGATTTACATACTTCATATTTTGGTAGTGTTGTCTGTTAGGATACCACGTCGGTTGTTGTGTTGCATGTTGCAGACGTCTGCTCTCCTGTTGGGTCTTTGGGTGGTCTTGTTTAAAGTAAAGATAAGACATGAACTATTATATTTACCTATACTATATGTATTTGTCATGTCTTTATGTAGCATGACAAAAGAAATAACTTAATAATTATCGCATAAGTAATAAAGCATGAGAAAACGTTTTATTTAAAGTCGGAGTTATATATTAAATATATAATGTTTATCATTCCTGTATTTACAGACTACGTACCCATGCAACAAGTAAATTAAGCATGGCGATTAGAACTGTTAACCATAGATTCTATTCAAACTACGTGATCACTACGTGATATTCCATTATAAATCATTATTGAATCCTTTCTTAGCAATTTCGCACCGATTGCTTTTTCCGAGGCCATTAATCGGTAACTAAGTAATAGAAAGAGCACCAAAACACGAGGCTATCTGATTTGTACGAGGGGGCGTAGCCCCCGAGTATTAATCAGATTGCCGAGTGTTTTGGTGTTCTTTCTCTTTTGTATCATAGTCAAACATAAAAGCACGTTCCCTGTTGTCACAATATGAAACCCCGGCAAAAATGAACCAATGAACGAACATCTGAATATGACATTTCTGTCGCTTTCCCTTTCTCTGCCGTCACAATATGTAAACCCCAGCAAAAATGAGCCAATCAATGGGCATGCTCTGGAGTGCGGGTAACTAATACCCGCACTCCAGTTAACGCACTGTGCATGTATATGTATACGATTTAACCCTGACACATTTTCAACAGAAAGGTCTCCAAACTATGATACAATGCAAATTGTACTCCATCTAGCATTGTTTACTAAAGATATACTTATACTGAATACTTATACTCATTATCTATACAACGACACTTTTGAGTTTGAGAGTTTCATTTAATTTTTTATTTATCCTAAAATTGTGGTGATAAATAAAGTATTATACATTCTTGGGTACTGTACTGATTCCATTGGAAATGTAAACAGCTCGTAAACCTATATTGGACTAGGCGCTTGCACTCATTCAATAATATTCAATTTTGTACTCAACAATACCCTCTAATTAAAAAGAGTCTTATGATATAATATAATCTTTGTGGTTGTTTTAACGTTATAAATTTTCACAATATGTTTTTAAAATTTACTTACTAATTACGAATGTTTCAGTAGTGGGCAGTAAGCAGACAACGATACCAATGATGTACAGGCAACATACTGATGACGTCATTCCACACGCCTGCCAACCAGAAAAAGAATAACAAATTAAATACATATGTAGTAATGAAAATCGTACAAAAAGAAATAAAAAAATATAAAAACATTTAAACATGTATTTACATATTTACAGCTGCATTTACTTTAGCAGCATATTTTATTGAAATATAACCTTTCTAAATCAAATTTGTCTATGTTTATTTACTAAATCGAAAAAGTGATAACGACTCATAATATTTCAAAGACCATAAACAATTAAGTTGTAGATATTTATTTTGCATTTTATCTTTACATAATGCATTGGCATTTGAAACAAATTCTATTTCATAAAGTGCATAAAACTACTAGTATGCATGGGCTGTCTCTTTATAGGAGACATATTCTATATTACAACCTATTCGACCTTGGACTAAAATATATATTTCTGTCCCAGATTTGAACATAAGATAATGGAAACAACATTTTTTTTACCATTTATTTTTTGTAAAAATATTTCATTACATATAGCTTTATACCCTTTTAGTGAATAATTATTCTAGTTTTGTTTTCATAATGAATACAGAATTGTTTTTCTCAAAGGTTATATTTATTAGTTTATCTATGGCGGTTGTATTACGTGTTACAATGTGTTTTTGAATGAAGAAAAAAATTTAGTATATATATACTAGTATATATTTTACTAATTAAATTCTATTACATTGAGTATACTAATGATAATTAATTTAATTATTTATTCTTACATCTCGATATGTTGATTGTTATTTTATTGTTCTAAGTATGATATACATTGTAGGCGTTAAAGATATTTGTGGTCGTGAGTGAATGAGTACTTTTATTATATTAAGAATATTACTTATGTGGCTTTGATCACATTATAAAGAAAAATAATTTATTTACTTACAGCTTGTATTTCTCCATTTAGACCGCCATTATCCAGTTAATACTGTCTCAGGTTGAATACATTACTGCTCATGCCACCGGCATTATATTTAAAGAGATCGCACATTTTGATACTTCAGCAATTTTATTACCAATAATAATGTGTCAGGTTCATACTATATATGTAGGGATGCACGTGAATTCTTAATAAAAATAGATTTTGTTTAAATATGATATACTATTGTAGTATTAATGAAATAGCATAAATTGACAGTCTAGGTTTTAAATGTGCACAAGTCTAAATTCTTAATAACAGTAGCTTTTGTTTATAAAATACTAAAATGAACATTGTTATGTCAAAATTTAGTGAGTGCAAAATAGTGTGTAATTCATATTGACATGCCCATGTTTCTTAGAAATTAGAAAAAAGTTTATTTAAAAAATACTACTATAAAAGGCCTTCCATGATAAAGTTTATTGAACTACTATGTAGCAATAAAAAGAATATATTATCTAATCTGGCAAAATATATAAAAGAGTCATTAAATTACAGAAATACTATTGTTAATTCTGTCAGATAAATTTGATTTATGAATATATATGTCTTATTAAAGAAATTCCATTCAACATTTTTATGTATAGATTTTCTCTGAAGATATGTCTGCTATGTAAACATGTATATTTAATTATGTTTAAAACAGTTTATCCTCAACACTATAATTCCAATTTTTGTTAATTTGAAATAACATTCTAGAATTATAACGTGACATTGTCTTTAAAGTTTGTTTTAATGCATTGGAAATTAGTATTGAAAATGTATTGTAATGTATTTCAATGTATTATCACACTATGTATGATTATGATTATGTACTATGTACAAGTCGAAATAAAATAATGTTCTGTTCTGTTCTGTAAATGACTGTACCAGTATAATATCGGTTTTGGCCCAGAATACGAAAGCAATAATAAATATGTTTCAGCATTACGCAACGCTCATTTAAATATAAACTGTCAGAAAAAAATCTAATTTCCAGACAAGATATTTGCTTTCTGACCTTAAGCGATAAAAAGCCCATTTATAAGGAAAATAGTTGGGCGAATACCCGAGGTCACATGAAATGTCGTTGAAGAAAACTGTTAGAATTTAATAACTTATGTAAAAGATGATATACTTATGTATAAGTCTCATAAAATGTCTGTTCAGTTATGTTCTAGTATAACTTTATCTTGGAAAAGAGAAAGGCAACTTTGTCAAATCTTCTATAATAAAATTTATTATTTAAGAAAAGATATTATTGCAAGACCAACTATATTCTTTAGGTGCTTGTACTTACAAAGTTAAACTGGTTTATATTATTCACAGAGATGTTAATTTTAGTGTTATCTCTGGTGCCAATCTGTCCAATGATAATACATGTTTATAAATCGGGAGATTTTTATTGCCTTCTCTGACACTACGTAATATTGTCCATGCATTAAAAACAAGTACACAAACAGGTGCACAAACACGAAAACTGAAAAGAAAATATCGCATTAATGCGTGATAGTCTGTTTTGGAACATGTAAACTACACAGAATGCAAATAATTTATCATTTATCTTTTATTTGATTGTTATTATGATAAATTCTTTGTTGTTTCACTAATAAGATATTAAGTAAACATGAAGATAAATATTTTTAGAATATTTTACAGCTATTACAAATCATGACAATGACAGGAGTACCTTTATGTTTTTTTTCACAATGTATAAACTCTTAAAGTGACATTATGCTTATTTATCGCTGATACGTTGAGTTGTATATTAGATATATGGATTATTGATGATTGTTTTCTTAAGAAAACATAAAGTTGAGCACTGTAACACCGCACTTTGGGGTCAAACGCACTTTGGGGTCCGACCCCAAAGTGCGTTAAACTTCGCATCGCACTTTGGGGTCAAACGCACTTTGGGGTCAAAATCGAGAAATTGACCCCAAAGTGCGTTAATATGCTACATATCAACGCACTTTGGGTTCCAGAGGTCTAAGGTGTAAATCTGAGTTCTGCTTAAATACTGAGAACTGACTTATTTTCGAATCTTTCGAGCATTGAAAATTTGAGGTGGACGTTCAAGATGGCGGTCATACTTTGATGATGCTTAAGTGATAAAAGTTTCATTAATTGTACACTTAAAATATCCAATAATAATATATAGTTTGTTCATATAACAAATGACGGTGGCATAAAAGTGACAATTTGCATTTATTTTTATTTAAGTTTTGCATACATATTTTTATTTAAGTTTTGCATACATGATTTTGTTTTCAGGTTTGCATTCATGATTTTTTTTTTTTAGCTTTTGCATTCATATTTTATTAAAATTTTTCGTACATTTTTTTATTTTGTTTTTCGTACATATTTTAGCCAATCAAACAGCCTTTACATCTCATAACAGCATCTTAGTTGAGTATAAAAACTAGCACAGTAGTTTTGGTCCACATTTCGGCCCATTTTTTTTAATCGCCCAGTCTTTATGCGCCCGCGCAAGTCTGTTTCGTCGACCTTTTCTCGCCCATTTTTTAATCATATGTATTTATATAATTAGTGTATTTTTAAAAATATTATCTACTATATATTATGTCTATTTGGAAGGGCCTGTTGATTGTGAATGAAACTGCACCACCAACCCACCCCTGAGTAAGGGGGGAGGGGCATCTGACTTTAACCAAGCCGACCAAATGGTAAAATCTTCGCCCTGCGGGGGATACAGATAAAACATTCCGCTTATCCGAACAGCGCAGACCTCCATCATCTCTTTTTTAACCCGCACTCCCCCGGGGTAATAAATAGTCCTATATTCCAACTGATTTAGACCATATCTAATAACTACATGTATAACTGTACATGTATAAACAAGACATAGATAAATATCTATGTCATGAAATAATATATATATCTAAAAATGTATATCATTTTTGATACTCCAAAATTAAAATGAAGGTAATTTGCAAATGCGTTTGCAAATGGGGTAACTGTATCTTACAGATGCTAAGTGGTTTAAAAATGGTGTTTACTAAATTATCCGAACCCTCTACTTGCCAAATGCGTATGTAAAATTTGTACGAAAAAAGAAAAACAAAACAAAAATAAAAATGTCAAAACTCAAAAATAAATATGTATCAAAACTAAATAAATATGGATGCAAACTTAAAAAGAAATACTGTATGCAAAACTAAAAAATATATTTCAAACTAAAAAAAAGTATGCAAAAAAAGGATAAAAACAAACAAAAATGCAAAAATGTCACTTTTTTGACACCGTCAAAATATTTTTAGTACACGAAATCGTGTATTCCTAAAGTTTAACAGATGCTGCGAAAATATAACCTTCGTTTCTGTCAGTCATTACTTGAAACTTTTGGTGCCATTTTGAGTCTCCAATTTATTATGTAAGGAATGAAATAAATGCAGTTAATATTTTCCCCTCCGTACAAACCGTTCGCCCAGAAACTTTTTTAATGGGAAACTCTAGCATACTTCTTTAGAAAGTGCATTTATAATGTTCAAATAAAGGATATCAGAAGAAATGGGTAAGAGCTTTTTACTGAATAAAGTTAGCGATAAATGTGAAATTATGGTCATAAAAGAGTCAAAACAATGTAGTTTCTTGACTTCATCATAAATGTAAAACTACTTACAACTATACATACTGTACTCATCATTTGGTCAAAAAAGCAACAATGAAAAGATGGTCAGGCTAATTGCCAATGTGTATTTTTTTTTTGATAAATAAATAGAACATCTAAATAAGAAATAGCTGAAGAAAAACAAATAAAGCATAATGGGCCTTTAAAAGTAATTTTTAAAACCTCGGGAATCGATACCCACAACCCCTCTATACCCCAGTGAATTTTTACATAATCTGCAGCCTCGCTCTTTAATGTCGACTACTTAATATAGTTTGATCGATTTTTGACTGCTGTACGGACTACTCTTAAGCCGCATCTTCACCTAGCAAGTTCTAATTGTGTCACATTTACTATTGAATGCTCATTTTAACGATATTATCAGGCTAATTTTTTACTGAAATGTCTTACAAGATTACCCAGATTTATACTTTGTCTTAGCAAAGGACTAATCATATTTCTAAAATGTGTAAATAAACAAAC